TAGATGGCCACCCTGCTCATATAGTGATAATACATCCCTATCCAAGGCGCGGAGAGGGGGCGCTAGTTGCCACTCTGGCCTCAGGCAGCAAGATTCCTTGGGTCGGCAGGGGAGTGGAAACGATCCAGGAGGGCAAAGTGCTGCCTTGTTTCTGTTTGGAAGAAAGGGAAGAAGCAGCTTTAGAGAGCTTTCCTTGCAAATTCCCCCCATCATCACTTAAACCTCCCTTCCTCCTTTCCAAAAAATAAATAAATCTTCCCACCCAGCGTTCATCTTTTCTCCAGCAAAGTCTGGCGAAAGGTTTACACACACCCCAGGCTCCTCCTCAGCCTTGTCCTGTCCGGTAATCGCCTTTCCCGATAAGCCCTAACAAAGCAGAACTAGGACTCCCTAGAAGTGGTGCATTTGATGGAGCAATAAAGTGGGAAACAAGGCTATTAAAGTGACAAGGGCGCTGGACATATGGGATTCAAAGGGCTCCCGCACGCTTTGGGAGCAACCCAGTGGCTGGCTCCCATTCAAGTGTACTTAAAAGTTTTAGAAAACCACAGAAATACTCTTAACATAACCCTACCACACACACACACACACACACACACACTTCTGATAAAACACAATTGCCGGTGGGATCCAGGAGCTGCTAATGGAAGGAAATGTAAGTTTTTCCAAATTATTTTAATTTTTTAAAACATTTTTGTGTTTAGTCCCCTGGAAGCGTTGAAGACAGCAGGGTTTTACAGCTCAATGAAAAATGTGCCCATTTAGAAGGACGTCCTATTGATTTTAATGAACCGAACTACCAGCATTAAAAGGAAAGGTGGGAGACAGAGGGCCTTTGCAGACTGCCAGAAATAGTGCAAATTGAGTGCACTTTAAGGATTAGGGTTAGGGTTAGGGAATCATGGGAACTGTATTTTATTGTGGCACCAGAGCTCTCTGACAGAGAAGGCTCAATGTCTCAGGAAAAAACAACAACAATTCCCATGATTCCTTAGCACTAACCCTAACCCTTAAAGTGGACTCCATTTGCACTATTTCTGGCAGTCTGCAAAGGCCCAGAGTCTTACAGTACTTTTAAGGCCAACCAAAGCATAAGCTTTGGCAACCTTCCCCAATTTAGGGTTCCAAATACACTGCAGAAATAACCCAGTTTGAGACTGCTTTAACTGTCCTGGCTCAGGGCTAGGGAATCCTGGGAATTGTAGTTTATTGTGGCACCAGAGCTCTCTGACAGAGAAGGCTTTGTTTTTAACTTGTTGCCTCCTTTGTATGAATATGTTTTATTTTATTATTTTGTAGAATGTACACCATTGGCAGGCTTATCTTTATCTATTTATTTTATTGATTGTATGTACAGTGCTGTGTAAATCTACAGCGCTATATAAATAAAGTGTAATAGTAATAATAGTAATAATCATAATCATAATCATAAGGCTAAATGCCTCACAAAACTACAGTTCCCACAGTTCCCTAGCACTGAGCCAGGGAAGTGAAAGCACTCTCAAACTGGACTTTTTCTGCAATGTATTTGGGACCTAGGTTCCCCTTCTGTTGGGACTGCAACTCCCATCATCCCCAAATAGCTTGGCCACTGAGAGTATGGCCACACACACACTTTCCAGCCACATTTCCAACCAGCTGGAAGACTGCCTTTGAGTTTTGGTAGATTTCAATGCACTTCCTCAAGAAACTCCCAGATTAATTCAGTGAAAAATTGGAGTTCTGTTTATAAATACATTTTCATGGGTGCTAAATGGGCTGCAACCCACCAATCCCTCTACCCTACTGTCCTGGGATCTGTAGTATGAGCAGACCAGGCATGAAGGAAAATGCATTCTGTACCTGTCCAAAGATACAAGATTGGGTTTCAAATCTGGGAATCAGCGGTCTTCTCCTAATCCAGGTAATCCAGGTATTTGGAGGCACACAACAGCAGCAACAACAAAACTCTTGCCAAGACTACATAGGATAGCAGCTAATGTAGGTTAAACAAATTAAAGATTTTAATAGTCATTACTAGACATTTTATTTTCCACACACTTAACATGCATCAATGAAATTCTGAAACAAAATATTACTTTTAAAAAAAATCAATGAAAAGATTTTTTTTTTTTTAGAAAAAAGAGAGGGAGGGAGAAGGTCTTGACATTAAATAGGCAATGCATTTTTACTAGGTCTAAATGCTATTTATAGATTTGTTTAAAAGAACAAAAAGATCAACAAGAACTGGAGTGAAAGAAACCGAGGCAATAACTTTGGAAAGGGAGAGTAGAGGTGCAGCCTTGCTTTGTTGAACTTCTGGAGTTTTTCCTTATACCCCTTCAATAGCTTTCCTTCCCTCCCACCCCTTTATACTCTCAAGGACCCTGTGAGGTAGGCTAGGCCAAAAGAGAGACTGATTGACTCAAGATCACCCAAAGAGTTTATAAATGAGCGAGGATTTGAACTTGGACCTCTCTGGTATTTGCCCAACACTATCTTCACCAGTGTGCCAGACCACTGGAATTGCTTCTTGTTGAACCCACCATGTTAACCCTACTGAATTGCTGTTGTTGTTGTTTTCCAAGTCATTTGTGACTTATGGCAACCCTAAGGTGAACCTATAATGGAGTTTTCTTGGGAGGTATGTAGAGAAATC